AAAAGATGTTTGTACCGAATCTAGACCACAATGTACAATGCAAACTACTCTCTCAGAAAAGGCCTATGTCGCAATACTGAATTGTTCATATCCTACACAACCTCAAGCAATAATTCCTGATATCATACTATGGCTAACCAATAATTATTGCTTATTCATTTCTAGTTGACATTTGCTGATATCATTGTATTCAACATCTGTTCCAACCACTTGTCAATTGTAAGTGGGTTCCCTGTGTTGCAAGGTCACCATGACCGCATCAGGGACATCCCTGGTATCAAGTCTTGGTTACAAAAAAGACCTCAAACTGAACTCTGATTGGTGGAGCGTTCCAAGCTAACTACTCTAAAATTGCTTTATTATAAACAATGTAATAAAGGACTACTCCACTTCAACACTTTGAAAATAATTTGTAGTTGTTTTTGAGCAGTTCCCATGAGCTATAGTACGTCAAAATCTCATTTAAAACAACGTGCTTCGGTCTTCCATTAAAATTCAAGACATAGGGCCTTTGAATTTCAATGTCAGACCTCCGACTTGGTTTTTAACCTATATTTAAAATTATTTTTGAGAACTTTGCATTGGATATTGCCCATAAAAATCGTGATTTTTGGGTGCTTTTCAACACTTTTCATGACCTATAGTCCATAAAAATCCGTAAATTTGGGGTGTTTTTGAACGATTTGCATGAGCTATAATCCATAAAGAAAGCCAATGCATTTTAATCGAAAATCGACCATTTTTGGCCATTTTGGTGCGCTATAGAACATGCATATTGATCAAAAATCGACCATTTTTGGGCATTTTGATGGGCGAGCTATAGCCCATGCATTTTGATCAAAAATCGACCATTTTTGGACATTTTGGTGGACTATAGCCCATGCATTTTGATCAAAAATCGACCATTTTTGGCCATTTTGGTAGGCTATAGTCCATGCATTTTGATCAAAAATCCATCATTTTTGGCCATTTTGGTGGGCTATAGTCCATGCATTTTGATCCAAAATTGACCATTTTGGTGGGCTATAGTCCATGCATTTTCATCAAAAATCGACCATTTTGGGGCATTTTGGTGGGCTATAGCCCATGCATTTTAATCAAAAATCGACCATTTTTGGCCATTTTGGTGGGCTATAGCCCATGCATTTTGATCAAAAATCGACCATTTT